GCTTCTCCCCCTCCTCCTTCTCCACCAGCTTCTCCCCCTCCTCCTTCTCCACCAGCTTCTCCCCCTCCTCCTTCTCCACCAGCTTCTCCCCCTCCTCCTTCTCCACCAGCTTCTCCCCCTCCTCCTTCTCCACCAGCTTCTCCCCCTCCTCCTTCTCCACTAGCCTCTCCCCTCCTCCTTCTCCACCAGCTTCTCCCCCTCCTCCTTCTCCACCAGCTTCTACCCCTCCTCCTTCTCCACCAGCTTCTCCCCCTCCTCCTTCTCCACCAGCTTCTCCCCTCCTCCTTCTCCACCAGCTTCTCCCCCTCCTCCTTTTCCACCAGCTTCTCCTTTCTCCCCCTCCTCCTTCTCCACCAGCTGGTGTCTTAGCTGAAGTGGAAATCGCCATATTTGAGCATATATGCAAAGTGCGCATGCGCATACGCATCCTATATCATATATTTCGCAGGTCAGAAATTTCGCACACAAAGACGAGCTGTGATTAGTCGGGTCGGGACGCATGCGGAGTGTGCATGCGCATACGCGTATACGCATGCGCATAGGCATCCTATCTCAGATATTTCGCAAGTCAGAAATTTCGCGCTACACCGGGTGTGCGGCCAAACCCCGAGGCACGCTCCATAGCGTGTACGATCCACCGTGTGCAGTACAGCTCCTGCCTTAAAGATCACCGTGAAAAGTCGTGTTTTTCGTGTGCTCCCGGATTTCATCTAGACCGTGTAGCGACTCTCTGAGTTACTAGAACAAATCTATAGTCCGTTCACCACACCTACTTGCTTGTATCTACTGTGTGATACTGATCGTCTACTCGTTAACACTCACATCTCTCACGCAACCCGCGACAAGAACATTGATACCTGCCGCGCGGAACTTGGGAAGTTATAACACACGTAGCTCTAGTACTATAGCCCGCGTTTATTAACTGCCGCAGGCTATAACACACGCAAACGTCGCAACTACAACGAACACCACAACGAACAGGAACTGAAAGCGCGCAGAGTATATCATTTGGCGCAAGTGACCAGTGTATTATTTGATCTTGAACGTCGGGTGATGTCATTTATCTGACACTGATCGCCGAACAACACAGCGTCCTGCTTGCGTAAGGTTAGAGGACTCCGATGTCAACAACAGTTATGCAGGAAGCTGGGGACACAACCCCGATGGCGTGTATAGATGCATAGATGTAGCCATGAATGGTGGCAGATACAGATTAATAAGGAAACAGGGACAGCGGGATACATATACGCTGTACGATAAGGATGTATATATATATACGTAGGAGTGAAGGGATAAACACGGGAAGGGAAGATGATAAATATTTATTAGAAGAAGGAACGCCAGGATCCACGTAAACAGAGATAAGGGCACAGTGATGTAACTATACACGGATTAATTAGTGAATCCATATACACAGCGATGAAGGGGCACACGGTAATATTAAAATGTCCACGGATGCAGTAATGAAGATAATGCAATAACAAGCAACGCCGTAGCGACGCTGGAATGTCAAAAATGCATGCCACCGCATTCCGCGCAACGTTCAACACGCCCTCGTAATGACACAATCACATCAAGGGTGTAACCTTTGTGGCGAAGGAAGCTGCATCCCCGCATAGATTTTAAACAAAAAATAAAATACTAAAAATAGACTACTGTATTAATTATTAATAACTAATGAAGTTATTAATCATGCGTATAAGATAAAAAAAATAAAAGGTTAACATAATTGAATAGTTCAAAAATATGAGTATGTAACTAAAATCACCATGTAGTCATTCGTGCAACCCTCGTCTTACATCCATTCCGCCACGCCATATTCACGTTGACTGGGAGCTGCACTGCTTACTTGGCAATACAAAGCCGAGTCACGCGAGTGGCTTCCTCCTCCTCCGGGATTTGCGCAGACTATGATTCTGAACATTGGGGAACACAACATGACAACCGCGTACCAACCTACGCGACTGCGACAGATGCAGAGGCGTTAAGTGGCAGTCCGCTGCAGTCGCCCTGGTGCTGTGCTAAGCACCAGATCACACTGAAAAGAGGAGGCGAAAACCCCGCTTGCAACGACTTGCATTTCGTTAAGTGCATCAGCAGACAGACCCCGCGCGTGCGACGCGAGCGAGGACAGTTTGGATTTTCGTGTAAGTTCGCACCCATCCCAAATTTCTCGCCCGCAGCCATAAATATAATATGAGAGAACGAGAACATTTACAGATGCCTAAAAAGAGCGAGCGAAATCACCCTTTTACTCATCTCAACTTGCGATCGTAGGGTTTCAGTGATGCATAGACTTTCGTGTTCGAGAATCCCCGCATCCATGTATCATGAATGAATGCCAACATCCCCGCATCCTCGCATTCCCGAATCCGTGCATCCTGGATGATTACCAGCCTGCTATCAATCCTGCTTCCTGGATGAATTTCAGCCTGCAGGTATCCCCGATTCCCGGATGAATTCCAGCCTGCAGGCATCCCCGATTCCCGGATGAATTCCAGCCTGCAGGCATCCCCGATTCCCGGATGAATTCCAGCCTGCCAGGATCCTCGATTCCCGGATGAATTTCAGCCTGCAGGCATCCCCGATTCCCGAATGAATTCCAGCGTGCAGACATTCCAGATTGCAAATAACTAACTAGCACATGATGGAGTCGTACACAGTGCTACGCCACGACGCGATCATTGCTTCACAGAATGTTCACGTCATGTCAATGTTCACTAATGAGGATATTGCAAACAGTTCGCGCCATTGATGATGGTAACATTACCATCGCGTGTCGTGCGAATCTCATGAAACGAGCAACACAAGGCCATCATAGTCGTACATTGACTTGATAGCGCCGTCACCAATCAACAAGCATGCTCTGTATGTTGCAATCTTAATTCACCTCAGCCTGGCATGATTGACAGGTAGTTCAAACCAATCGGCGTTGCGATAGAAAGACAGAGAAAAGTGCATGGCAATAAAGCTGGACACTATACCAACCCCCGGTACTGAAATGACCCGTGGTGCTTTGCGCCCGGAGAAAAAAGGAGCAATTTCTGCGCTGCGCGCGCATGCTTCATTTTATCACATCAATCTCGAATCAATGTCAATTCAGGAATCATTCGAGAATCATTGCATCGCAGATCATAAATGAAACCCAAAGCGCGCCAATCCAGCGTGGAATGCCTAACTCAGCTGTTTTCCTGTAGCCTACCTACCGTTGAAAAGCGAGTAATATTTATTTGCATTGCTGCTTACGCACTGCCAGCCTTATTAGTGACCAATAAAAAATTGTTTTGACGGCATTCTATTTCATTATTAATTTTCAGAAATCTTAAACAAGCCTAAGATCAATATCCGTATCATTATCGTAATCTTATACATCTTATATAGAAATTTATGAGTTATAAATTCTTATAATGTAAAAAAATTGCCATACAGTAAAAACCCGCGTATAAGAACCTAGATTTTTCCAAGTTAGATTCAATAGGTTCTTATATAAATGGTGCTTACTGAAAAAGTACGCTCAAAAGGTTCTTAAATAGGTTCTTGTTTCTACTTTTAATATGTATATGTATAAGCTTATACTTGATTCAAATTGTGTTTAAATTTTCTTACAAGGACTGCAATTTTTGCTAATTAATACCTATGATGGGCTACAGTGTAAGCCATACAATGCTGGCCAAGGAAAGGGCCTTGAGATTCCTGTTGACTATAGGTTGGTTGGAGATAGGGGTTACTTGAAGAGGTTCACAAGGAAACTTTAAACCAAAG